AGAGTCTGAATGCTTCCCCTAAGATGTGGAACAAGACAAAGATGTCCACTTCACCGATTCCATTCAACAAATCACTGGATGTTCTAGCCAGTGCAATAAGGCAAGAAAAATAAAGGGAAAAAAAGCATGCAGCTTGAACAAATAAAAAGGTCTTTATTTGCAGACGATCTAATTATCTATGTAGAAAATTGAATGGAATCTATAAAAAGGCTACTAGAACTAAAAGGTATATTTAGCACGGTTGTAGAATACTGGATAAATAAAAATAAATTGTAGGACTTTTGGTTTTAGCCCTGACATGTAAAGAGCTTAGGAGCCATCATTCCCATTGTTATGGGGGAAATAAAAAGAAAGATGAATAAGCTGAGAATCAAAGACTTTTCATGGACATATCAGAGTAGTGAGTTGCAAGACAAATCACCACCCCAAAAACTGAAAAGTATGGCAAATTAGGAGACTTACAACTGAGATTTGCTTATCTAAAGCAGAAGTCACTGGAATTATAATTGGTTAAGAACATTTAAACAATAAACACTTCATCAAAGATATACAGATGGCAAATAGCAATATGAAAAGATGTTCCACATTGCCTGTCATTAGAGAATTGCAAATTAAAACAATAAGATATCACTACACACTTATAATGGCTAAAATACAAAAAAAGCTGACAATACCAAATGCCGACAAGGATGTGGAGCAACAGAAAGTCTCCTTCACTGCTGATGGGAATGCAAAATTTTACAGTCACTTTGGAAGAGAATTTGGCAGTTTCTTACAAAGCTAAGTAAGTTTTTCTATATATGATTCAGCAATTGTGCTCCTAGGTATTTCCTGAACTGATTTGAAAACTTCCGTCCACACAAAAACCTGCACATGAAAGTTTATAGCAGCTTTATTCACAACTGCCAAAAACTGGAAGCAACCAAGACGACCTTCAATAGGTGCATGGATAAACACAATGTGGTACATACATATGATTGAATATTATTCAATGGGAAGAAATGAGGTATCAAGGTATGAAAAGACATGGATGAACCTTAAATGCACATTACTAAGTGAAAGAAGCCAGTCTGAAAAGGCTATGTGCTGTATGATTTCAATTATATGACATTCTGGATAAGGCAAACATTACCTCAGCCAGGCAACCAAAGTCAAAATCAACAGTAATGAATGATATCAATAAGATGTACTCATGACACCCTGGGTATCTGTGTATACTAAAATGGCACTTTAATTCTGTGATCTTTCTCTCAAAAACATTACCCAACCTCATCATAAGAAAACCATCAGACAAACCCCAACTGAGAGATATTCTACAAAATACCTGATCAGTACTCCTCAAAACTGTCAAGGTCATCAAAAACAAGGAAAGTCTGAGACTGCCAAGAGAAGCCTAAGGAGACATGACAACTAAATATAATGCGGTATCCTGGATGGGATCCTGGAACAGAAAAAGGACATTAGGGAAAAACTAAGGAAATCTGAATAAATTACAGACTTTAGTTAATTATAGTGTATCAATGTTGAGTCATTAATTTTAACAAATGTACCATACTAATGTAAGATGTTATTAACAGAGGAAATTGGGTGTGAGGTATGTAGGAAATTTTCACTATCTTCACAATTTTTCTGTAAATCTAAAACTGTTATATAATACAAAGTTTATTTTTTAAAAACAATCGTATTGATATTTTCATATACAAGCAATAAACAATCAGACAGTGAAATTCTAAAATTCCACTTACAACAGCATCAAAAAATGGAAAATACTTAGGGATAAATCTTACAAAAGAAATACGAGATCTATATGTATAAAACATTGCAGAGGGAAATTAAAGACCTAAATAAAAAAATGGAAAGTGTTCATGAGTGGGAGTTTTTCCCCAATTCCAATCAAATCCCCAAGCAGGCTTTTGTGTTTACACTATGAAGCTAATTCTAAAATTAAAATAAAATGCAAAGGAACCAGAATAGCCAAAACAACTTTGAGAAAGAACAAAGTTGGAGGACTAACATTACCTAATTTGAGGATTAAAAAAAAAAAAAAAAAAAAGGAATCAGGAATGTTGTATTGGCATCAAGATATATATAGATCCACCAAACAAAATCGATAATCAAGAAACAGACCTAAACATATATGGACAACTGACTTACTACAAAGGTACAAAACAATTCAGTGTAGACAAGTAAGGAAAGTTTTCCAACAAATAGTGCTGGAACAATTGGATATCCATATGCAAAAAAACTGAACCTTGAGCTACAGCTTGTACTATATACAAAAATTAACTTGCATAGATTTAAATTTAAGAACTGAAACTATAAAACTGCTAGAAGAAAACACAGGAGAAAAATCTCATCTTAGGCTTGACAACAATTTCTTTAAAAGAACACAAAAGCTGGATATAAATTTTTTTAAATCAGTAAGTTTTGCTTAATCAAAAATCAAAAACATTTCCTCTTTAAAAGAAAAATTAAGAAAATAAAAAGCCAGGCCATAGAATGGGAAAAAAATATTTGCCAAACATATATGTACCTAACAAAAGGACTTTTATCTAGAATATAGAGAGGATTTTTATGACTTAATACTATAAATACAATACAATACAATACAATTTAATACAATTTAATACAATAAAAGTGAGCAAAAGTTCTGAACAGACACTGAAGAAGATATATGTATGGCACATAAGGACATGAACGGATGCTCAAAATGACTAGTTATTAGAGAAGGCAAATCAAAACCATAATACGTACCTATTAGGATGGCTAAAACTATAAAGATACTGTATACCAAGTGTTGGTGAGGATATGTAACAACTGGCACTCACACACTGCTGGTGCAAATGTAAAATAAAATAATACAACCACTCTGGAAAACAGTTTAATGGTTTCTTCAAAAGTTAAACATATATCCATCATATGACTCAGTCTTAGGTATTTACCCAAGAGAAATAAAAGCATATGTCCATACAAACACCCATATAAGAATACTCATAACAGTTTTATTTGTTATAACCCTAAACTGGAAGCAACTGAAATATTTATGTGGTATATTCATACAAGGGAATACTACTCAGCAATAAAAAGGAATAAACTATTGATTATATGTGACAACATGGATAAATCTCTGAATAATGATTCTGAGTGAAAGTAGCCCAACAAAAGAATATATACTGTATGATTTCACTTATATAACATTTTAGAAAATCCAAACAAATCTCTACAACAGAAGCCAAATCAGTGGTTGCCTGGGGAAGGCAGGGTAGGGGAGAGGTTAGAGGAGTACAAGAAGACTTTGTGGAGTGATAGATAGGGCCACTATCTTGAGGGTGGTGATGGTTTTACAGGTACACACACATGTCAAAACTTACCACATTGAATACTTTAAATATGTATAGTTTACTGTACATATATCAATTAAACTTGAATAATACTGTTAAAAGAACACAATTGTATACAAAAAAATCTCTAACTTATTGTACATTTATCTGTTAGAATATTTTAATAAACCACAATAATGCTTTCAAAGAATTTCTAATGACATGTGTAAATGTTTATGGTATACAATTAAGTGAAATTGGCCAAATATATAACTTAATATAGGATGATATCAATTACATAGAAAGCTTTTATACACACAGATAGATCTATTTCTGGTTAGAAAAACGATCTATATTAATAATAGTTTTCCCTGGGTTATGGAATCATGGGTGATTTAAATTTCCTGTATGCTTTTCTCTATTTTCCAAAGTTTTCTTTGTTGTCTTTCTTATTTTATTACTATTTTTATTTTACCTGAGCTTGCAATATCCTTTTAAGCAGGAAAGTAAAAAATAAATGAAGGGAAAAAATTTAAGTGACTCTCTGTCCTGACAAGTGATTCCAATATATGCACCACAGTACCGTGAAAGACCAAAGAGGGGATTCTGGGAATTCACATATGAACCAAGTATTATCTGTAGATTTAATAACATACTTCATACTCATATGAACTATTATATTTCATGTTCATAGATGCACTGAAATTCAACTTTACCGAATCTGTAGAATGTCTATTTCTCACATCAATAGATACTACAAGTAAAACACTAACATGGAGGTCTTCAAACACTTATTCCCCTACGTCACTGCCTGTAGGTTGCTTCAATTGGAGTATCTTCTGCTACCTTTTCTGCAATATGTAGAAGTGTTAAGCACAGTATGTGGCATTCAATTAATAGAAGTTCTACTACATGTTCCTATTTCTCTGCTATGGCTTTTATTACATGCTAAACTACCCCTTTCCTAAGCTACTATCAAACCGGTGCTTTGTGCTTTCTTATATCGTTCATATCCCAGAACATAACTAAAGTTATAAGGTAAATTAAACAGTGAGGGCTTCCCCGGTGGTGTAGTGGTTAGGAATCCACCTGCCAATGCAGGGGACATGGGTTCGAGCCCTGGTCTGGGAAGATCCCTCATGCCGCAGAGCAACTAAGCCTGTGCCCCACAACTACTGAGCCCGCACGCCACAACTACTGAAGCCCGCACGCCCTAGAGCCCATGCTCCACAACACGAGAAGCCACCACAATGAGAAGCCCACGCACCGCAACGAAGAGGAGCTACCGCTCGCTGCAACTAGAGAAAGCCTGCGTGCAGCAACAAAGACCCAATGCAGCCAAAAATAAATAAATAAAATAAAAAATAAATTAAACAGTGAAATACCAAAGTCAAATATGCTCTTTACACAGAAGGGCTGTGGAAAAGCTATTTCAGCTAAACATTGAGGCTTTCTGCAAATATAAGATTAAGATTACTAGTTAAGTGTGGCATTCCCAGTCTGTGACTGACCTTTAGGAAATCATTTAATGTCTGCTAAGGTGTCTACGACTGCTTCATAATAATCCTCTCAGAAAATAAAGTCAACAAATAACTTAATTATCACTATAAAATACACTACAAAAAGCAGAGCTATTATTTATAGTTAAACTATTAGTTGTTTAATGGTAATTGAGTTTACCTCAAAGAATTATTCTCTGCTTTTTGTCTGCCAAGTTCACTTTCGGTATCCATTGCCTTTCTTGCTAGTGATTTCATTTCTTTTTCCACAGTGGTCACGGTTTCCTTCATCAAAGTCATATTTGACATTTGTTCCATACGTTCATCATCGAGCTATACAAGCAGAATGACAAAGTTACTGCCATCACTAAAAACGTTTCAGTAATCTTCCTAAAGAGACATCCTCTCTTTGTACAAACCGGTATATAAGATTCACACAACGAGATGATCAGATTAGACTTAAACGTTGCAGGAGGCTGTATGGACAAGGCGACCGTGGAGCAGGAACTCAGACAAGCCACTGCACAGCTTTTCCATAAAGCCTATCACAGTATACGCATCTATATTTTCAGTCTGGTTCAGCTGGACTATAGCACACACAGCTTATTTGCAAAGGGATTTCTTATTTGTTGCTCAGCATTAACAAATTACATACAGAAAGTGGGATTATGAAAAATAATGTTTTTCTCCTGTCTACTGCTTTTTCTAAAACTCATTATAACAACATAAAACAGATGAATTCAGAAATATAATCAATTAAATTTGGTTAACAGAAAGTTGAATTCCCTTAATTCTGTTTATACAGTCAAAACATTTCAAATATATATTCATAGCATCTCAAATCCTTGATTAGTAAAAAGGTGATGCTTCACAATTAAATTCAGTTTAAATACATTTCATTAATTGCCATTTCATTATAATTTTCTCTACCCTAGCTACTCTTTAGGTAGAATAAGCCAGTTTTTCTATCCCTGGCAATGTTATCGTTAATGAAACAGGGAGATGAAAAAGTCGCTAAAATCCCTTAGAATGCATCCCTAATGGTTTATTTAAAAGAACACACTTTGCAACCTAACACAAAAAAAGACTTCACTCACATTTTTTAGAAGGAAATAAATAATGAAAAAGTGACTATTTACACCATACATACTACCATAAATATATTAGGATTACAAACACTATCATAAAAAACCAACTTCTCGGGGCTTCCCTGGTGGCGTAGTGGTTGAGAGTCCGCCTGCCAATGCAGGGGACATGGGTTCGTGCCCCAGTCCGGGAAGATCCCACATGCCACGAAGCAGCTGGGCCCGTGAGCCATGGCCGCTGAGCCTGAGCGTCCGGAGCCTGTGCTCCGCAACGGGAGAGGCCACAACAGTGAGAGGCCCGTGTACCACAAAAAAACAAAAACAAAAACAAAAAACAAAAAAACAACTTCTCTGAACACAGAAAAGGGGGAAAGGGGGGAACCGCTGAGAGTTTATAGCCAAAAGTGCAAAAGTGATTTTTCTTTACATTATGAACTGTACACTCCAGCTCCTCTATCCTTTGTTCCAAGTGAGCCTTCTCATTAAATGCTGTCTCTTGGGCAATCTGTTTAAAAAACAAAAAACAGAGCGCTTTCAATGTCACTGCATGGTGTCTCACAAATGCTCGTATAGATAAAATTCTTTCAAACCTTCAGCCTTTCCCTTAGACTATCTCGTTCTGTGGTCATTCTTCGTAAATCAGTGAAGGCCACATCTCTCTCAGTCTCCACCCGCCGGAGGATGGCATGTGCTGTTGTTGATTTAGGAGATTTACAGCTTTTCATCATTTCTCGTCGAAGTCGGGCAATTTCTTCCTGTGCCTATTATTTAAATACACAGATAGACTTTTAGTTAACAAGCTTTAGAACAGAAATAAATACAGCTATCTTATATCCAGCCAGTTAAAATGCAAACCTATATTAATATGCATGCAAAAGATAATGGTATAATTCTTTAATGAGTTTACACATATAAATGCAAATGATTCCCCCATATGTAAATGAATGTCTGCAAGTAGAAGCTTGGTTTACAATATCTTTGCCAAAAATTAAAAAAAATTAATTGGGAAGCAGTCAGTGAAAGAGACAGTGTTTTACTAAGAAATATATATGGTACTCCATTTATTTTATTTCTTTTAGACTTTTTTTTTAACATCTTTATTGGAGGATAATTGCTTTACAATGTTGTGTCAGTTTCTGCTGTATAACAAAGTGAAACAGCTATATGTATACATATATCCCCATATCCCCTCCCTCTTGCGTCTCCCTCCCACCCTCCCTATCCCACCCTTCTAGGTGGTCACAAAGCACTGAGCTGATCTCCCTGTGCTATGAGGCTGCTTCCCACTAGCTATCTATTTTACATTTTAGTGTATATATGTCCATGCCACTCTCTCACTTTGTCCCAGCTTACCCTTCTGCCTCCCCATGTCCTCAAGTCCATTCTCTACATCTGCATCTTTATTCCTGTCCTGTCCCAAGGTTCTTCAGAACCATTTTTTTTTTTAGATTCCATATATATGTTAGCATACGGTATTTGTTTTTCTCTTTCTGACTTACTTCACTCTGTATGACAGACTCTAGGTCCATCCACCTCACTACAAATAGCTCAATCATTTCTTTCTATGGCTGAGTAACATTCCATTGTATATATGTGCCACATCTTCTTTATCCATTCACCTGTCAGTGGACACTTAGGTTGCTTCCATGTCCTGGCTATCATAAATAGTGTTGCAATGAACCATGTCTCTTTTTGAATTATGGTTTTCTCAGTAGTGGGATTGCTGGGTCATATGGTAGTTCTACTTTTAGGTTTTTTTTTATTAATTTTTATTTATTTATTTATTTATATTTGCAGTACGCGGGCCTCTCACCGCTGCAGCCTCTCCCGTCGTGGAGCACAGGCTCCGGACGCGCAGGCTCATGAGCCTCATGGCTCACGGGCCCAGCCACTCCGTGGCACGTGGGATCCTCCTGGACCGGGGCACGAACCCACGTCCCCTGCATCAGCAGGCAGACTCTCAACCACTGCACCACCAGGGAAGCCCTACTTTTAGTTTTTTAAGGAACCTCCATACTGTTCTCCATAGTGGCTGTATCAATTGACATTCCCTCCAACAGTGCAAGAGGGTTCCCTTTTCTCCACACCCTCTCCAGCATTTATTGTTTGTAGATTTTTTGATGATGGCCATTCTGACTGGTGTGAGGTGATACCTCATTGTAGTTTTGATTTTCATTTCTCTAATGATTAGTGATGCTGAGCATCCTTTCACCTGTTTGTTGGCAATCTGTATATCTTCTTTGGAGAAATGTCTACTTAGGTCTTCTGCCAATTTTTGGATTGGGTTGTTTTGTTTTGTTGATATTGAGCTGCATGAGCTGCTTGTACATTTTGGACATTAATCCTCTGTCAGTTGCTTCGTTGGCAAATATTCTCTTCCATTCTGAGAGTTGTCTTTTCGTCTTGCTTATGGTTTCCTTTGCTGTGCAAAACCTTCACTAGGTGCCATTTGTTTACTTTTATGTTATTTCCATTCCTCTAGGATGTGGGTCAAAAAGGATCTTGCTGTGATTTATGTCATAGAGTGTTCTGCTTATGTTTTCCTCTAAGAGTTTTATAATGTCTGGCCTTACATTTAGGCCTTTAATCCATTTTGAGTTTATTTTTGTGCATGGTTTTAGGAACTGTTCTAATTTCATTCTTGTACATGTAGCTGTCCAGTTTTCCCAGCACCACTTATTGAAGAGGCTTTCTTTTCTCTGCTGTATAGTCTTGTCTCCTTTATCAAAGATAAGGTGACCATATGTGCGTGGGTTTATCTCTGGGCTTTGTATCCTGTTCCATTGATCTATATTTCTGTTTTTGTGCCAGTACCATACTGTCTTGATCACTTTAGCGTTGTAGTATAGTCTGAAGTCCAGGAGCCTGATTCCTCCAGCTCCGTTTTTCTTTCTCAAGATTGCTTTAGCTGTTAATTTTGTGTTTCCATACAAATTGTGAAAATTTTTGTTCTAGTTCTGTGAAAAATGCCACTGGCAGTTTAATAGGAATTGCACTGAATCTGTAGATTGCTTTGGGTAGTAGAGTCATTTTCACAATGCTGATTCTTCCAATCCAAGAACTGGATTCATGATTCTTCCAATCCAAGAACATCTCCATCTATTTGTATCATCTTTAATTTCTTTCATCAGTGTCTTATAGTTTTCTGCATACAGGTCTTTTGTCTCTGTAGGTAGGTTTATTCCTAGGTGTTTTATCTTTTTGTTGCAATGGTAAATGGGAGTGTTTCCTTAACTTCTCTTTCAGATTTTTCATCATTAGTGTATAGGAATGCAAGAGATTTCTGTGCATTAATTTTGTATCCTGCTACTTTACCAAATTCATTGATTAGCTCTAGTAGTTTTCTGGTAGCATCTTTAGGATTCTCTACATATAGTATCATGTCATCTGCAAACAGTGACTGTTTTACCTCTTCTTTTCTGATTTGGATTCCTTTTATTTATTTTTCTTCTCTGATTGCCACGGCTGAAACTTCCAAAACTATGTTGAAAGACAGTGGTGAAGGTGGGCAACCTTGTCTCGTTCCTGATCTTAGAGGAAATGCTTTCAGTTTTTCACCATTGAGAATGATGTTGGCTGTGGGTTTACTCCATCCATTTTGTGATAAGTTTGAATTCAGCACAACTCAGGTAGAATACTGGTTTAAAAAATATCATAGCATTCCAGTCGTTCTCTCCAAAATGTATATGCCATTTCCATGTCCTGGCTACTTTTACCCTGACAGAAGGGCCCATCAATCCTTACTGACAACCCAACAAACTCTTTACACACTTGTTCAACAACCATCCTCGGGTTCCATATCTATTCCATATCTACAGATGATTTCATATCCTACTTTTTGAATCCTACTTTTGTTTCACATCCTACTTTTTTTTGAATACCACCCTCTCCACTGGCTCTTTCTCTACTTTTTCAACCATGCACACGACTCCCATATCTTGAAAAACTGTCACTAAATCCTGCTGCCCCATTTACCATCAAATGTCTCTCTTTCCTTTGACAGGCTTTTTTTTTTTTAAGTGCCATGGATTGTACATCTTGCCTGTTCCTTACCTCCCACTCTCTCTCCCCAGTCTAACCTGGCTCCCACACCCACCACTCTGCAGAATTTCATGTAATGACCTCACCAAATCTAATGGCCTCTTCTGAGTTCCTGTTCTTGATATTTCGGCAACACTTGCCATTGCCTTCAACACTCTCCTTGAGATTCCTTTCTTCCTTGGGCGTATAACACTGTTCTGCCTTAGTTTCTTGTCTTCTTTATCTCTTTCAGAGGTTCTTCTACCAATTGAATAAAACTTCCCAAGATTCCATCTTGACTTCTCTGTTACTCTATTTATAGCTTTCTCATTCAGAAACTTCATCCATTCTGAAGGCTCAAAACAGACGACTTCTCAATCTACATACTCAGCTCTTGCCTCTCTCCCCACTCCAGTCCCACATTTCTTACTGCCTGATGGCAGTTACTACCTGATGTACCACCATCATCTTACTCTATCTCTCTGACACCAAACACATCTTTTCTCTCAAGTCACCGATGACTTTCCTGTTTCTTTTTCTATTACCACAATTCTTCAGTCATTCATAACAGAACTTCAGTGATCTCCATTTGTCCCTCCTTTGTGCTAAAATCAAATCTTCTTAAGTCTTCCTTTTCAGTGTCTTTTGCATCTGTCCCTATCTTTATTTCCACTGATCGCACCCTAGATTAGTCCCTTAATGCTTCATGCAGGGACTACTGTTAACAGCCTTCTAAAGAGTCCATGGGGACTTCCCTGGTGGTGCAGTGGTTAAGAATCCGCCTGCCAATGCAGGCGACACGGGTTTGATCCCTGGTCCAGGAAGATCCCACATGCTACAGAGCAACTAAGCCCGTGGACCACAGTTACTGAGCCTGCATGCCACACGTACTGAAGCCCGCACGCCTAGAGCCCGTGCTCAGCAACAAGAGAAGCCACAGCAATGAGAAGCCCACACACTGCAATGAAGAGTAGCTCCCGCTCACCACAACTAGAGACAGCCCGCACTCAGCAACAAAGACCCAATGCAGCCAAAAATATAAACAAATAAATTAATTAATTAAAAAAAAAAAGAGTCTGTGGTTTCCCCCTCCTCCAAATCTCCTAAAGGAGAAATTGTTATATAAGGTGATAACATAGAAAGATTACGTAAGAGATAATAAAGAATTGTTACCAGATTAAAATTGTAAAAATGTAGCTTTCATCATATTTCTTCCACTTAAAAAAACAAACAGACTGTCCATTGCTTATAAGAAAGCAAAGTATAAACCTCCTATAGGGCCCACTGAACAGCTTCTACCATGTAGTCTAGAAACTGGCAAACAATATATAGGTCACAGGCCAAAACCAGCCTGCCTATTTTTGTAACTCTGTAAGCTGAAAATGTTTTTTATATTTTTAAATGGTTAAAAAAAATCAAAACAAGATGAATATTTCACAACAGGTAAAAAGAATATGAAACTCAAATTTCAGTGTTCATAAATAAATTATACTGGAACACAGTCCAACTCATTCATTTGTATATTATCTATAGCTGCTTTCACACTACAACAATAGAGTTGAATAGCTGTGTCAGAAGTCACATGGCCTGCAAAGCCCAAGCTATTTCTTATCTGGGCCTTTACAGAAAATGTTTTCAGACTCCTGCTCTAGTCTAGTCTACCTCTCAAGCCCTTACTCCACTGACATATACTTTTATTCTAGTCATAAACTGATCCATTCATGTACTGACTTTCCCACCTTTATCCTTTGCTTCATACCATTCCTTTAGTCTGGAATGTTCTTTCTTACCCCTTTCAAGATAAAAGAAACCCCATTCATCCTTCAGGACTCAAACTCCACATCGCCTGGCAAAGATCTTGATAACCATAACTAAAAGTACTCACCTCTTTTATTTCTTACAATATCTTCTAGACTACTTACGCTAAAGTAACAAAAAGTAAACACAAGACAATATATTTTATCTCCCCAACTAGATTGCAAACATAGAAAACAGTGTCTGGTTTCTGTTTTCTATCTTTTAGAGTAGCAAGCCCAAAACCCTGCACTTAGTAGCTGTAATTCTTAATAAAATTTGATATTTTAAAAATAAATTATATTGGTGATATATGGGGTTTACTTGTTGAGTCAAGAAGCCATTTGATTAATAAGAGTTATATAATCTTAAGCTAAAAATAGAGATAAACTACAAACTGATTTTACTCTCTAAATTAAATTATATGGCAATTCCTAAAGTGATTGACAGTACATCAAAGTGATGTGTTTGTATTTTTTAACCCCCAAGTCCAAATTTTTTACCTTGAACTCACCACACCCTATCATTTAACACTTTCCCCATTTCTTATTCCAAAAATCAGACTATTTCTATGTATGTATATGAGCTTTTTCAGATACGGGGATAACGTGTGTGTGTGTGTACACATACACAAATACATTACATTTCATTAAGAATATCATAAGAACAAAGGCAATTCCCAAATGTTAGATTAATTTGATTGACAGATTTAAGCATTCTCATAGAACTTAAAGAATTACCTATCTCTAGAATTGTTAGTATTTATGTATTTTGTTTACTTATAAATAAGTTTACCTGCTCATACAGAAAAAAGGTCTTGTCTCTCTCAGATGTGAGAACCTTGACATTACCCTGAATTTCTGCCAAATGACGCTCATATTTTTCCAGCATGCATTTGAGTTCTTCACGGTCTCTTGTTGTCTTCAAAAGCTCTACATCACAGTTTGTACCCTACAATTATTACATAAGAAATCTGAATAAACAACAAGGTCCTTCTGTAGAGCACAGGGAACTATATTCAATATCCTGTGATAAACCAAAATGGAAAAGAATATGAAAAAGAATACATATGTATAACTGAGTCACTTTTGTTATACAACAGAAATTAAACAGAACATTGTAAATCAACTATACTTCAATAAAATTTTTTCAAAGAGAAATCTGAAATTATTCTTTGACATGTGTTACTGATAGAAAGGTGCTACTGATGGCAGCACACTATCTCTAGTTAAGCAAACATGACGATATAATGAAATGATGAAAAAAGTTTAAAAATCGCCTCTCTTTTAAACAACTTCATCCCAAATTGCTCCACATTTATATGATTACCCCCAACCACTACTAATGCTGGGGATAAAGGCCAATTTCAACGGTCCACTGTGCTATCAAAGAGAGCTCTGTCTCCCATCCTCGTTGGTATACCAATTCATGCCAAATTAAAAGGAATTATTTCCAGATTAGATAAATCAAAGAATAAAAGTCACTGAGCAACAAACTCCAAAGTATTTACAAGTTCCCAAAACCTACCCGGGAAAATGGAGATGGGCGTCTTGGGCTTTTAGATCTACTTCTGATCATCTTTCTCAAATTTTGAGCTTCTCTCTTGTAGTATTCTCTGTCTGCTTCTAAAGTTTTGACAAAGGAATCAAGTCTGGAAGGAGATTTATTTTGTGCTTTTTCAGTCTCTAAAATTATCTTGCCAAGGAGGAAAAAATTAGGCCATTATTTCAAGCTAAACTATAGCATCATTTTCTAAATGAAAGTTGAAAGCAAACAGGATCCTTAAAAATAATAAATTTGGTATTTTGAAAATAATTCAAAAAATAATAATTCATCAAACTTTTTAAAAAGCAGTTAAGATACCTTTCTTTTCCAGCATTTCTGAATGTAGTGTATTTTTATTTCACTGAAAATGTCCCTACATTTACTCAATAACTTTGCAGAAAAAATAGTAAAGAAATTTCAGAGAGGTCAGAATTGTTTCTTGTATCAGATCTAGTAACAAATCCTAGAAATGGAATTAATTTGCTTAGAGAAACTTGTATGCTACTATTAAAGCATCTGTTCATAGCGTTCAAGTTTTGTTCAATAATCGTTCAATGAATGAATAAATTAAATGAATGCTGGATATTCTATACTTGTATATACTTTCAAGTGCATTTCCATTCACTTTAATATATTTACAAACATTTATTTTACAACATTTATTTTACCAATGCTTTATTGGGAAAAAAGTACAGATATTTTAGAGAAGATGTTTCAAATATTTTAAATGATAACACTAAAATGTCTAATCAGAGCAATTTTCATTTCACATTGTTAAAGAGAACATATTACTCAGAACTAAGTAACAACATTTGACTTTAAAATATTTATTATTAAGAGGAACAAATGTGTACACAAATACATCTTACATTTTGAGAATTAAATTACTCACAGCCGTCATTTTAATCAAGTAACAGCTAAGAGCATTAATAAAACCAACCAAAAATTCTCTCCAGCTCTAGGAAAGAAAGGAGTAATGATGAAATAGAGCAAGAATAGCATCGCTCTTATGGGTGGGAGTACCCCTTGGCATCAGGCAGAGTGCTGATTTTAGAAAACAAACTTTTTTTTTTTTTCTGTACGCGGGCCTCTCACTGTTGTGGCCTCTCCCGTTGCGGAGCACAGGCTCCGGACGCGCAGGCTCAGCAGCCATGGCTCACGGGCCCAGCCGCTCCGCAGCATGAGGGATCTTCCCGGACCGGGGCACGAACCCGTGTTGCCTGCATCGGCAGGCGGACTCTCAACCACTGTGCCACCAGGGAAGCCCCAAACATTTTTTATTGTTCACAAAATGCATGAGCGCCAAAACATATGTACAATTTTTGCTGTCCTACTAACAGAATAAAAATGATTCCTTAATATATTTATGAAAAATGTACTTACAGATCTGAGCCTTTTTATTGTATCTTCCAATACTACTATATTATTTTGCTGGCAAATGAGTTCAATCTGAAAAACAAGCCAGAAAAAACTGTTATTTAGGTGTAAAATGTTTAAACTGATTTCATTGGAAAGAGAGCATCAAAAACAGAAGCTGCTTAAAAATAAAAACATGCAGACAGTGAATACTTTATGAAAGAAAAGATAATCCACTCTTATGTTTACCTACTTTTGATGGTAAAAGAACCTAGAATGAAATGAAGCAGTTCCTTTAAATTGTCTAATGTTTTATATAAAATACTAATTGATTTTATTTTGTCAAATTACTCCTCATAAACTGGAACAAACTGTTAATACTAATTATAATTCTGAAGATGATAATGGGGAAGAGTTAAAAGAATGAATAGAATAAGTTTTCCCAAGTCACCAGAGTCAGAAGTGATTGCTCTTTCCTCTGAATTCTTTTAATAGTTTAGTTCAATCCAACCCACAAAATACTTTTTGTATCAGTTTTATAACATTGTCTTAAAAGTCTTACAGTATAGCCACCTGCAATCATATATCTAGTCTATGACTAGATTGTACGTTCCTGGAGGATAGTGACTATGTTTTTATGTAAAGCTGTAAATCTCTTTGTTAAAAGTTGGCATATTAGTTTAACGGATTTCTCAATTCGTAAACCTCCCCCTTGTTATTCTAATCACAAATGTCTCCTGCTATATTTTAAATTTGAATTTTCTGCAATTATTGCTTCTCACTTGTTCTTTAGACCAAAGTTCTAAGATTTCTCTGGCAGTTATATTTTAGTTTATGATATACTAAGGGGTGTTATGGTATGGAATATAACTTACATATAGCTTGGATAAAGTTATATACAGTTTTGGATAATTTTGATAATTTTTCAATGCTTTAATGTGTACTACTATGTAGACACTAAAAAAAAAGGATCTGTACTGAATTATGTGCAAAGATGTCCATATATATTAAGTATACAAACTCACACTGCCAAAAATTTTATCTAGTATGACACATTCTTGTAAAAAATAAATTTATACACTCATATCCTAGATACAGATGGAACATAACCAATAAGTAAATTGAGCAAGATAGATTATGTCTAGGTATAGGAAGCTGTGATTACAGTACATATTATTTTCCTCATTATACTCTTCTATTAAAAAATATGTATTACTTTTATAAAGATAAAAACATTAATGCTTATTCAACTCTGAAAAACAAACTTATAACTGGCCCAAATGAAAAGATGCCAGCCCAGTGCTTTCATTTATTTGACAATTGTTTAATGAGGGTCTACTATGTGTCTGACATTGTGTTATATGCTGGCTATAGCAGTGAATAAAACAGACAGAAACCTCTACCCTCATGGAGCTTACATTCTCGTTGAAAAGAGAAAAATAAAAGATAATAGGTAAAGCATATATCAGATAGTCATTGTGTCATTCAAAAATATATAATGAGTATTCACATCTGTTCTATACTTAAGATTTTTAAAAAGGGAATAAAATAGACAAAGATCTTTGCCTTTGGACAGCTTACATTCCAGCTGGATAGACAACAAAAAATAAACCTAACGAATAAATTACATACTACATTAGAAAAAAAGAGCAATATCCTTAAGAATATTGGTAGTGTTTATGAAGGAATAGGCTAGAATTTTAAAGGGGGTGATCAGGGAAGTCCTCACTGAGGGAGTCAACCATGTAAAAATTCAGGAGAATATTCCAGGCAGAACATTCAGCTATAGCAAAAGGCAAAAGACTGTCTGCTAAATTCCAAGGAATAGTAGGGAGGTCAGTGTGGCTGCAGCAGAGGGAAGGAGGAGGAAAGTAGTACGAAAGTGCTAGAGAAAAATGAATCAAGGAGAGAGAGAGGGAATAAGCATGTGTGGTTGGGGGTGTAGGTCAGAAACTGATACAGGCTTTACGCCTTGTCTTCCTCATAGTAGGTTCTGAAGCATTTTTGACCGAATCACATACAAAGTAATAGTAATGACAAGAGCTACCAGAGATCCAGTCCAATAGTGGCCCCATGTTAATTAAAAATATAAACTGTATGAAGAAATAGTAATGGTAAAATTGCAACTCTGGGGCTTCCCTGGTGGCGCAGTGGTTGAGAGTCCGCCTGCCGATGCAGGGGATGCGGGTTCGTGCCCCGGTCTGGGAAGATCCCACATGCCGCGGAGCGGCTGGGCCCGTGAGCCATGGCCGCTGAGCTGCGCATCTGGAGCCTGTGCTGCGCAATGGGAGAGGCCACAGCAATGAGAGACCCGCGTACCGCAAAAAAAAAAAAAAATTGCAACTCTGTTTCTTCATATTTCACAAACTTGTGTTCAGTAATCTGGGAAACACTGCATTGAGTCATGAATGATAACAACTCAAGAAGAAAAGATCAAAGAAGGCTTACGGTTGTGGGAGCTTTAAAATATGTCCCAAAATTCTGATACTCTTTCCTTCAAAAGATGGAGCTTAATTTCTCTCCCCATTAAGTGTGGTCTATACTTAGTGACTCACTTCTAAAGAACAGGATATGGTGGAAGTGACAGTATGTAACTCTTGAGACTGGATCATAACAGGCACTGGAAATTCTTCCTTGTTGTCTCTTTTGGATCATTGGCTCCAATGGGAAGCCAGATGCCATAAAGAATATATCAAGAGACTTGCCTGGTGGCGCAGTGGTTAAGAATCTGCCTGCCAATGCAGGGGACACAGGTTTGAGCCCTGGTCTGGGAAGATCCCACATGCCGCAGAGCAACCAAGCCCGTGCGCCACAACTACTGAGCCTGCACTCTACAGCCTGCAAGCCACAACTACTGAGCCCACGTGCCACAACTACTGAAGCCTGTACACTACAACTACTGAGCCTGCACTCTAGAGCCTGAGAACCACAACTACTGAGCCCGCGTGCCTAGAGCCCGTGCTCCACAAGAGAAACCACCTCAATGAGAAGCCCACGCACCACAATGAAGAGTAGCCCCCGCTCACCGCAACTAGAGAAAGCCCACGCACAGCAATGAAGACCCAATGCAAACAAAAGTAAATAAATAAAATTATATAAAAAAAAAAAAGAATATATCAAACAACCTAGGGAGAGGTTCACATGTCAAGGAACTAAGCTTCCTGTCAAAAGCCAAGAGCCATCTGAATAAGTCATCTTAACAGCAAATCCTTCAGTACCAATCAAGCCATGACTGCAGCCTGGCCATCACCTTGATTACAATTTCCTGAGAAACCATGAACTAGAACTACTTAGTTAAGCTGCACTTAAAACTGTGAGATATAAATGTTTGTTGTTTGAAGTCATTAAGATTTAGGGGTAACTTGTTACATAGTGATAGATAATATAATAGCAAATCCTCAAAACATTTTCATGGAACGAATAATGGAAGAAGTTACTCAGTGGACTTTAAAAATATGACTAAAGAAAAAAAAATAAAAACAAAAAAAAAAACAAAAACAAAAATATGACTAAAAGTAAACTCTTCTGAGTAAATAAATTTAATACTATCTCAGTTCTAGACAAACAGTAGTTTTAGCCTCAGACTCTAAAGAATATCTAAAGAATAATCTCAAATACTACAGGGACCCAAACATTCTCAGCTCTCAAATTAGAAATTCTCTTGTTTCAAGTCTCATCTCACAAATCAGACAAGGAATCTCTCCCCAGTGACTGGATGCCTAAACTGTACACCCAATGACTTCATGATGATAACAACACGCATTGGTATTCACATTTCCAGCACCTTTCATGCATCTTTCTAATCCCCATTCTACCTGGAACATCCCCTTACTGAGGTTGGTGTTTTCATTTCAGGGCATTTTACCAACACAAAGGACCTATTTCCATTTTGTCCTCTCTTTATTAACTTTCCAATGTTTTCCCTGCATCAGTAATGTTATCTCTACCCTAAGACTACAGTCCACCTCTTCTACAAATAGCTTTCCAATTCTCGAATACACCAAACATTCCACATCATACATATATGGCTATCTATTTCCTAGAAACACTCTTTTCTGAGCTAGGCAGAATTTCTGTCTATGAATTTAATATTTTCAGTTTTAGGTAAATCCTAGCTCTTTTATTTTAGATGCTCTGCATTCCTGAAATTCTTCCTTTTGATAGCAGAGGATTCACCCTCAAAGAGTACTCAAGGAGTACTCACTCTCTCTCTAGAACACAGACCCTAACAACCCTTTAAAATTGATGACTTCTAAACCAGGCATTCTCTTTATGGGAATTTGGCCAACTAGGCTTCCCACAGTCTGGGAAGGAGTGCTGTTAATTTTAAATTTGAAGAAGAAAACAAGAAAGACATAATAAAACATAAATCCAGTGTTTTTTGACAATTTTTATAATTAAGACTGAACTCAATTTACCATTAAACTGTGAATGAATGATAACTATTATTAAAAAAGAAACAATACAAACAAAAAAGTTTGTTGAGAATGTTTGAAATAGTTAAGTTACTTTTAAATATCCTTCAAATACTTTGGTAGCAACTATTACAAGATAAATAGTTTGCAAGTTAAAAACAAATCATTCTTATCTACTCTCTCAAATAGTTCTCCTAAGGACCTCCTCCAGGCAACATTGTTCAAGAAGATTGTGTCCTTATATTAAAGTAATAAACTTCATGTATTTAAATATTCCATTATTCAGACTTTTCACTAATACAGACTTATCCTTTACACACTCTAAATAAGTGAGGCTATTGTATGTAAACAAATACCATCCTAGTGTTCATTAACTAGGCTCTTAGATTTCAAATTACTGTAACAAATAATGTCTTCAATAACACCTATGTTTATAGCCTGATCATTTATTTAAGTGCTTTATCATATGCTACCAAGAGTACCATATAATATGCTTTATTATATTATTATAATAAATAATAATATAATTATTTTTTATTTTATTATATAATAATATATGCTTTATTATATATGCTACCAAGAGTATATTAAAAGGATGTGTACGAAATAACATGTAATAACAATTAGCTTTGGGAAAATACCATCTTACAGACACAATTTACTAATGTGGTGATTAATAAAATCAAGATGAATAAGCACGTTATCACTTAAAAATTCAACAGGTTGTTTTCTGGCTTTCAGATATACCATGTGTCTTGCCTATAAGCCATTAGACAACAATGAGAAATCAAACTGTCTTCATTTTATAGTAGTGTTTAAATTCCTAGTTTCTAAAGGTCATGGTAGGGTACTAAAATTTAATCAAGAAATAAAATGTTTATTAAAATATCATAAAGCTATAGTTATTAAAATAATATGGTAGTGGCATAGAAGATGGCAAATGAATCAATGAAACCAAATCATCCAGAAACATATCCATGCACATATAAGAATTCAGTAGCTGTTAAAATGGCACTTTAAATCAGTGACTGAAGAAAGGACTATTCAACCATACCTCATACTAGAAAAAAAAGAAATTCCAGAAAGATTAAAACTTTAAATATACATATTAAGAATTCTTTAAAGAAAACTGTAGAAAATATTCTTGTAGCTCTTGAGGTGAGAAGGCCTTCCTAAACAAGGTTCAAAACTAGGTGGAGAGGGCTTCCCTGGTGGCACAGTGGTTGAGAGTCCGCCTGCCGATGCAGGGGACACGGGTTCGTGCTCCGGTCCAGGAAGATCCCACATGCCGCGGAGTGGCTGTGCCCGTGAGCCACAGCTGCTGAGCCTGCGCATCCGGAGCCTGTGCTCCACAACGGGAGAGGCCACAACAGTGAGAGGCCCGCGTACCCCCCCGCCAAAAAAAAAAACCTTAGGTGGAGATAGAGGATTTTTAGGGCAGTGAAATTACTCTGTTTGATACTATAATGGTAGATACATGTCATTTTACATTTGTTCAAATCCATAGCATGTACAACACCAAGAGTGAACACGATTGTAAACTATGGACTCTGGGTGATCATGATATGTCAATTCTTTTTTTAAATAAATTTATTTATCTATTTATTTATTTATTTTTGGCTGTGTTGGGTCTTCGTTGCTGTGCGCGGGCTTTCTCTAGTTGTGGCGAGCGGGGGCTACTCTTTGTTGTGGTGAGCGGGCTTCTCATTGCAGTGGCTTCTCTTGTTGTGGAGCATGGGCTCTAGGCACACAGACTTCAGTAGCTGTGGCACAAGGGCTCAGTAGTTGTGGCTTGCAGGCTCTAGAGTGGAGGCTCAGTAGTTGTGATGCATGGGCTTAGTTGCTCCACAGCATGTGGGATCTTCCCAGACCAGGGCTCGAACCCGTGTCCCCTGCATTGGTAGGTGGACTCTTAACCACTGTGCCACCAGGGAAGTCCCAATATGTCAATTCTTTATCATAAAATGTAATAAATGTGCCACTTTGGTGGGGGATTGTAGATAATGGGGGAGACTAGGCATGTGTGGGGGCAGGGAGTATATGGGAAATCTCTGTTACCTTCTGCTTCACATTGTTATGAACCTAAAACTGCTCTAAAATAATAAAGTCTATTCAAATACATATTTTTAAATTTTTATTTATTTTATTTATTTTTGCTGCATTGGGTCTTTGTTGCTGTGCGTGTGGGCTTTCTCTAGTTGCGGTGAGCAGGGGCTATTCTTCATTGCAGTGTGCAGGTTTCTCAGTACAGTGGCTTCTCTTGTTGCGGAGCACGGGCTCTAGGCCTGAGGGCTTCAGTAGTTGTGGCACACGGGCTCAGCAGTGTGGCTCGTGGGCTCTAGAGCGCAGGCTCAGTAGTTGTGGCGCACGGGCTTAGTTGCTCTGCAGCATATGGGATCTTCCCGGACCAGGGATCAAACCTGTGTCCCCTGCACTGGCAGGTGGATTTTTAACCACTGCGCCACCAGGGAAGTCTCATTCAAATGTTTTAAAAGGCGGTGGGACCTCAAAAAAATAAAAGATCAAAACTCAGAATTCAGTAAAGATCGACAAAGTTGACTACATAGAAATTTAAAAGCTTTTGTTAAAAAAAACCCACCTTTTTTTGAAGTGTGAAATAAATTGTGTATGTGTGAAAACAGAAAAGAATGGAAATATATATATATACTTGTTGGTATATACCTCTGCAGAGGAAAAAAGGATTAGGGAGAAAGAGAAATGTTCTATATACAGAACATTTCCATTGCTTTGAGTTTTTACTATGACTACATATTACTTAAGAAAATTTTTGAGTAAAAATTTTTAAAAGAAATAAAATGTGAGACACAAAACACTTTAATCCTTAGAATAGACATTTAATTACAATGTCAAATCTAAAAAGCTTTCAAATGACGTAAATGAGAATGCCACTTTTTCCACTGCGTTAATAACTATATGATGTTTAAAGTAGAATTAAAATCCTGATCAGTAGTTGGATGTTACCTAGACTTGTGGTGATCATTTCACAATACATACAAATATTGAATCATTATGTTGTACACCTGAAACTAATATAATGTTATATGTCAATTATACCTCAATTAAAAAAAAAAACCTGATCAGTGATCAGTCCAATACCTTTGCTTCTTCAAGCTCCTTGCTGGCAGTATCCACCACAAACTTCTTCTCTTTTTCTAGTTGCTCTGCTAGTTGGTCAATTTTAATCAATTCTTGACAAAGATGCTCATTGTGGCTGGTTAAATCCTCTACTTGACTGCTTACCACCTCCTTACCATCCAAGAGTTTCCTAACACATTCTTCCAAGCCATGATTTGTCTGTTTGAGATCTTCAATCTGTTATAAGTAGAAAGAAAATAATCAAATTAAACTATTTCCTTAGCTTCCCTCTGAGGAGAACAACTAGGTGACTGGATTCAGGAAGGGAGGTTTGCTTCCCTGGCAAGGAGACTTAACTATATATCTTTTTTTACTTTCTGAATTTTGTACCATGTGACTGTATTACCTATCTGAAAAAAATATACTAAGTGAAAATTTAAAGGTTTATAGCTATAATTCTCAAAACAATTTATAGCTTAATAACAAAAAAACCCACTTAGTGTTGATATTTAACAAAACTATTAGAAAAATTGCCAAATATTTATATCTGCAGAAAAGAAACCAGTCTTGAAATTATTTAATTTTAATAATTAATATCATCAATTAGGCATTCTTTAGAATTAAGTTTCTAACTACTGCCATCAAAATATGTTAACTCTTTAGAAAAGTCCTTTTGAACATATCAGTAACTTACTTGACTAAGCTAAATACCAAATCAATCAAGTATTTGCTGACTAATGTGGAGGACCACAGCTTTCTTTCCCAGCCTACTATCAAACCATCAATGGATGAAGAAAAGGGCTTTTTCTATCACGAAGGTATCCAAATGTCTTTAAAGGAAAAAAGATATGTTATACCCATTGAATAATGATAATATGTCAAGAACTATGTTAAATTCAACAGATACAAAGATAGGTTAGCTATCTGCCTCAGAGAATGTATTGTTTACTTGTGGAAATACATATACAGTATGTTAAGTGCCGTAAGAGAAATATCTGAGATATAGGGGTGGCACAAAGTCCTTTTCCACAGAATTTGTCTCTCACTGTATATTTAACAAGTATTTATTGAGCACCTACTATATTCAAGGCACTCTGTGTGAAGATATGAAAAGACAGAAGAAAAAAACAGTCTTGGTCTTTAAAGAGCATCTAAAATTGCTAAATCTCTTATGTAACATTATTCTTAGTTCTAACATTATTTTTGCTGTAACCTTGCCCTTTTCAAGTAACTAGAGAGAGCTCTTTCCAAGCCATCAAAATCAACAAAGTTTTCTTTAAAAATATAAACTTTATTATTTGTCACTATATAAGGAAATATCCTAAAGGTCATGAATTATATATAACTATACCACAATGACATTTATTATACTCAAGAAGCACAATAAAAGCCATTATTTTAATCCAATTCTCACTTTGGTATTTTGTAAGGCACACTAACTTGTGAGATTTACAGGAAAAGAGTTTAAATTGTCAAAACCAGGAGACAAAAAAACTTGAAGAATTTTTTAAAAAGCAAAAAGGCAAACTGTAAATGCACTTATTTCTGTAGTTGAGCCTTTTATCACAACCAGGCTGAATTTCAGCAATACCTCTTACTCTCTTTTTTTTTGGCATTCTCCCAACTACAGCTAAAAATTCTTTGAAAATGCAAATTTGAAGTAATTCCTGTAGCCTTATGGTGCTTCATTACACTGAGAATAAGATGAACAAACACCATTTGTGGTCCCAGGCCTACTGCCCTGTCCAAGCCCTCTCCACCATCTCCAATATACACCTAAGCTCTAGACATGCTGTAAGAAACTTGCTAAACTCATTTTAAAACCTCTGTTAGGGAATTTACTGAAAATGTTATATATATATCACAGAACCCTCTCTATAAGAATGCTCAGGGAAAACTTCGCTCAGCTCTCAATTTCAGGAAAACATGTGCTTCTTTTGTATACCTGGTTTGTTTTTATTCTTTGGACCGTGAATTACTTTACAATTTCCTTGTTGCTTTTGCCTCTAGTAATTTTAAAGAAATCTGCAGCTCACCTCTAGCAACTAGTACAGAAACCATGCAATGATTTCCTGTTTGCTCTTCTTATCCATGCTTTCACTAAGTTTCTTTACTTTCCCGCACTCTTATTACCTCTTTTCATTACTAGCATTTTTTTTTAACTATAGGGATAAACAAACTTCAATTTATCTATCTTTTTGTCTTTGTTCATGGCTTCAACAGTGCCACGTCTCTGAGCAACAAGAACATGCTAAAAATGTTTCCTGACCTTCCACCAGGAGAGGTTACATGCTTTTCCTCTCTGGGCTCCCATACAGCTTCTTATATATTTTTATCTTAGTATTTTATAAGATGTGTTATAATCATTTGTTTCCCTGTCCCTTCCACTAAGTTCTAAGTGACTTTAAAGGGATCATGTCCCTAATTTCTGTATCAACATAACTCTCATTTCTGTATCATTTATTATATATCGAGCACATGATGCTCAATTATTAAATGAATAAAACAAATACATTATAAATAAATAAATGAACACTTCCCTCACCTTGACATCAAGCCCCACTTTTACTTAATTACAAGACACAAGTACTTTAGAAGAGGAGGCTACAAAGGATGTGGGCTTTGGACTGAGGCAGACAGGTTTAAATCCTGCTGCAGTTCCTCACCAGTCACTTAACCACGGACAATTTACCATATTTTCTTGATCCTAAGAGATGCATCTGACTTCAGAAAAAAATAAATGGAAGCTTCTTGAGTTTCATCTGTTAAATGAAGAGAATACCTACAATTTTCAGGGTGTAGTCAGAGAGATATAAAAGTTCAAGTAAAATTTTTGGCAGATAATAGGTACTCAAAAAGTGGCTTTTATTAAAAAAAAATATTTTGCAAAATAAAAAAAACAACTTTTTATTTTCAAATAACTAAAGGTTCACAGGAAGTTGCAAACGTAGTACAGAAGTTCATGTGCCTTTAACCTGGTTTCCCCACACAGTTACATCTTAAATAATTATAGTAAAATATCAAACCCAGAGATTTGACATTGGTACAACGTGTGCCTATTGTTCTATTCCATTTTATCACGTGTAAATTGCTGTAACTACCACCTCAATAAGACACAGAACTATTCCATCACCACAAAGATCACCCTCCCGTTACTCCTGTATAGTCACAGCCTTCCCTCCCCACCCTTAACTCTTAGCAACCACTGATCTCTATAATAATTTTGTCATTTTGAGAATATTACATAAACAGAATCATGTGATAGAGATCACAGTATGCTATCTGTTGACGGTGGCTTTTTCACTCAGCACAGTGCCCCTGACATCTAAGTTGTTATGTGGATCAACAGTTCATTCCTTCTTATTGCTGAATAATATTTCATGGTATGGATTACCATGGTTTGTTTAATAATTCACCAATTAAGGGAAGTTTTAGATGTTTACAGTTTGGGACTATAACAAATAAAGCTGCTATGAACAATTGTATAACTGTATACAGGTTTTTGAGTGGACATAGTTTTCATTTCTCTGGAATAAATTCCCAAGAGTGCAATTGCTGGGCTGTATGGTAAATGTATGTTTAGTTTTTTAAGAACTAAACTATTTTCCAGAGTAGCTGTACCATTCCCCATTCCCACCAGGAATATATCAGTGATCCAGTTTCTCCTCATCCTTGCCAGCATTTGGTATCATGACTATTTTTTATTTTAACTGTTCTTAACAGTGTGCATTGTTATCTCATCATGGTCTTAATTTGTATTTCCCTGATGTTTAGAAAAGATGAACATCTTTTTATTTGTCAACAATACATCCTTCTGTGAAATATGTCTTTATATCCTTTGTTCATTTTCTAACTGGATTGTTTGCTTTTTACTGTTGAGTTGTGAGTTCTCCACATGTTCTAGATATGATTCCTTTGACAGAAACAGGGGTTGTAGGTTATCTTTTCATCCTATTAACAGGGTCTTTCACAAAGCAAAAGACTTAAATCTTGATGAAATTCAAATTACCAATTTTTTCTTTTATGAATCACACTTTTGCTGTCATGTCTAAGAACTCTTCAGCAAGCCCAAGGTCCTGAAGATTTGTTCCTATGTTACCTTTTCAAACTTTCATAGTTTTATGTTTTACATTTAAATCTATGATCTATTCTGAGTTAATTTTTGTATAAGGTGTGAGGTTTAGGTCTAGGCTCATTTTTGTTCCTAAAAGATATCAAATTGCTCCAGCACATTTTGTTGAAAAGACTACCTTTCTTCATCAGACTGCATTTGCACCTCTGTCCAAAATCATTTGGCTGTATTCGTGTAAGGCTATTTCTGGATTCTCTATTCTGTATCACTGATCTATGTCTGTCCCTCTAGCAATACCATACAGTCATGATTACTGTAGCTATATATTAAGTTTTTAAATCAAGGAGAATGACTCTTTCCACTTTGGTCTTTTTCAAAATTGTTCTTTGCTGGGATTTTGATGGGAATCGTATTAAACTTGGATATAGATTTGGAGAGAATTGATATCTTACTATGTTGAGGCTACCAATCCCTGAATATTTGTTTAGATCGTCTTAGATTTCTCTTATTAGCATTTTGTAGTTTTCAGAATGTGAGTTCATACTTATTTTGTTAGATTTACATCTAAGGATTCCATTTTCTATTTGAGTGATTGTAAATGGTATGTAATTTTTAATTTAGATTTCCACAGGTTAATTGATAATATACAAAAATACAGGGCTTCCTTGGTGGTGCAGTGGTTAAGAGTCCGCCTGCCAGTGCAGGGGACAGGGGTTCGAGCCCTGATCCGGGAAGATCCCACATGCCGCGGAGCAACAAAGCCCATGTGCCACAACTACTGAGCCTGTGCTCCAGAGCCCGTGAGCCACAACTCCTGAAGCCCAGGCACCTAGAGCCCATGCTCTGCAACAAGAGAAGCCACTGCAATGAGAAGCCCGCGCACCGCAATGAAGGATAGCCCCTGCTCACCGCAACTAGAGAAAGCCTGCGACAGCAACAAAGACCCAACACAGCCAAAAAATAAATAAATAAGTACATTAAAAAAAAAAAAACCAGTATGTTTGTGTTGTATTCTGACCTTTTGAACTCATTTATTAGTTCTAGTTTTTACACTGTAGACGTTATGAGATTTTCCAGGAAGAAGATCATGTCATCTATAAACAGGGATAGTTTTATTTCTTCATTTGGGTCTGAATGCCTTTCAACCTAGCTATATCATTATATTTGAAGTGAATTTCTTATAGACAGCATAATGCTAGGTCATGGTTTTTTAATCCACTCTGCCAATTTCTAGCTTCTAATTGGTGTATTTAGATTACATATATTTAATGTACTTACTTTTATGTTAAGATTCAAGTGTGACTTTTCTGTTGTTTTCTCTTTTTTTTTTTTTTTTTTAATTTTTCTTTCTGTTTTGTTTTACCCACTTTCCTCTGGGTTACTTGAACATTTTTTAGAATTCCAGTTTGAGGTATCCATAGCAATTCTGAGTATTACTCTTTGTACATATTTTTAGTGGTTGCTCTAGGTGTTTCATTATATGTTCATAAGTTATCATAGCCTACATTTTACCAGTTCAAGTGAAGGGCAGAGACCTTACCTCCCTTTATGTCCCTCTACCCTCCTTTATTAATAATTCTTAAATATTTCCTCTACATGCACTGAGAACTACATTTGACAAACATAATTTAGAAAAGTAGAAAAGGAAATTCGATCACGTTTACCCATATTTTTGTTCTATATGTTGTTCCTCCTTCCTTCCTATTCTTCCAAGACTACTCCTTTTATCACTTCCTTCCTTGTTAGAGAAATTCCTTTAGATATTCTTTTAGGGTAGCTTTGCTGGCAACAAATTCTCAGTTTTCTTCATCTGAGAATATCTTAATTTTCCCTTCATTTCTTACTTTTCCCTTCA